TTAGTTATAATGATCCAGTCTAGGTTGCTTGATCATGTTTCATTCAGCAACTGAAAGAACCGCTGTGCATAAATAAACAAAAAAGCACAGAGCAAATGAAACACATAATTCCTTAGAAATGCTTTGGGAAACTGAAAAAAAATTCTCTGCAGAACCTCAGACAGGAAGCTTCTTTCAGAAGCTACAAGTCACCGAGACGAGATAATACACGGCGCTTTGATTTTTATGCAGCGAATACTCAGAGCCCCAGCTGTTCAGTCTGTGTGTGTGTGTGTGTGTGTGTGTGTGTGTGTGTGCGTGTGTGTGTGTGTGTGTGTGTGTGTGTGGGTGTGTGTGTGTGTGTGTGTGGTGGCAAACACAGCCATGGGATGGAAGCATGTGATGTTCAATTTAGAGGTTGGATAACTGATTATTTTTTCCCCTTTTTGCACAAAAACAGACAAACATTTGACCATTTTGGGTCCTGGTTACAGAACAAAACAAACAAAAATATAAAATAAAAAGAAGTTACTTGCAGAAGCTTCCCTGGGGACATGGCGTGCAGGAAGTCGAGCCGAGCTTTGATGCAAACAAACCTGAAAGCAGAAGGTGGAAAATAACTTGTGTGAATCACGGTTTCTATCTGATTTTAGATTGCGGTATTGTAAACATGTTTTCCACATATTTGAGCTGGATTTCGAAGTGAAACTGTGTTTTTTTTTACTTCTTCATATTGATTTTTCTGTCACTGATTTATAACACAGGAATGACTTTTAGATAAAAAAGTAAAACACATACCTGGGGAACAGCTTGTGCAGCTTTCTGCAGCCGTGTTGTTGTTGAAGGATCCAGCAGGGCAGGGGTGGCACAATGGACTCCCAGTGAAACTGGAAGGAAGGAGAAAAACAAGCTAAAGGATAGAAAATAAAACTTTAGGGAATAGTTTTAAAGATATTAGGTTTTACTTTGTGTAGGAGCCCCGACTGCAAGCTAGACACTGCTGCTGTCCTGCTAGCGGCTGATAGAAACCAGTCTTGCATGGAAGACAGGCTCCAGGAAATATACAGAGCCCAGGATCAGGGCAGCACGTACACAGCAGCGTGTCTGAGGAGGCAGAGAAAAAACTCTTCAGTTAGGCAGAAACCTGCGACAGCAAACATGGCTGTTGAGATAGAAAGAGAAGAGGAGTAAATTTAATGCCAAAATATTTATGACTTTGAAAAGTTAAAATTTGCTAGAAAAACTCAAAATTAATCGCAGAAAATTTCAAGAAAAATACTTGGACATTTTTCAGTTTGAAAAGTTTAATCTTTGAAAGAAAATACTTTGTTCAAAAGTCAAAATTTGACTTTTAGAAATTTGACATTTCTGAGTTTTCTAGAGAATTTACTACAAATTTGCTATTTGAAATTTGAAAAACCAAAAATTTTCTGAAATATTTTAGAAATTGTAGAAAACTTCTAGGATTAATCTACACATTTCAGAGTCTTTTTCTAGAACATTTTGGAGATGACTCTCACATTATTTTGTTTTTTTAGCAAATGTCCAACTTTTCTAATTGAGCAATTTTCATTTTTTTTCTAGGAAATTCCTGAGATTTTTGGGGCAGAAATTTACTTCATTTTTTTTTTTGTTTGTTTTTGTATGAAATGGACGTTATAGAGAACTGAGACAGCAAACATGTTACAAATGTAGAAGGTGGCGGTGGACAATATGGATTTAGATATTTTGTGATATTGTGACCAGAACAAAGATTATGATGACAAAAATTATTTTCATGATTTTGTGCTTCTAAAATTACCCCAAGCGCTTAAGAAAACCACTGCTTTTGAGTAACAAGTTAATGTTCTTCATGTCTGGAAAATGAGCCGTTTCAAAAACCTCCTAATTGTTAAGTCACAATTTGTGAGTATTTAACCGTTACTTAGCAATCCAGGTGGAGCTCCATTTTGTTTGGTCAGCTGGTTTTATTGCTGAATGTGCTTCACAGCAACTGCTGGAAAGGACAAGTGTTTCGTTGTTGACTCACTATTAAGAAAAAAGATTTTGTGTAATGTTCAGAGACCGTCGTGTTTCTGTTTGTTCCCGTTAAATAGCTCCAAATATGCAGAACTGAGCAGACTAAAATCTGATTGTCAAAGACTGATTTTGGTGTAAAAAGTGTAATGAATATGTTTTCTATCCCCCATAGACCTATCATAACCTGTTCAACTAAGCCTTTTAGGTCATTTTTAAGAGATATATTCCATGAAAACAATCAGAAATGTTTCTCGATAAATGTTAAACGATATAATAATTGCCCACTGTTGAAAAAAAGCAGACGACTGATGTAAATTCAGAACCACTGACTCACTGTTGTCGTACTGTGACCCCGGCGCACAGGCCTCACAAGTAGAAATGTTGAAGCTGGAGCAGCCTGGGGTAGTGCTGCTGAAAATCATGGGGGTTGGAGTCACAACGGTGGCATTCTGCACCGCCGTAGTGCTCATCACAGCAGGGGCGAGCGTGGTCTGGCTCTGCACCAAACCTGAGGGAGAAGAATCCGGTCATCCATCCGCAAACAGCTGTCTGACAAGACCAGGACATGAACACCCAACCTATAAAAACCACAGGAATGATGTGGACCAGTCTGCATCATTCCAATCTGGATGCTAAGCCCAGCAGCCTGCTCTTCAATAAACAACCAAAAATCTGCTCAGTTAAACTTAGTTTTCAATGCTATCGCTAATATTTCTATAAAGGTTTGGTTGTTGCTGTATTTGATGTTGCAGTCAGACACGTTTCATTGTTGTTTATTGTTCAGGTTTACCTGGTTTAGGTACGCATAGCGCCACAGGATATGATACTTCACTTGCCTTGTCATTTACAAACTACTTTCTGTTGAGGTAAATATGTAGCTTCAGATTAAATATTTAGCTTGCTAACTAAAGATATAGCTAACTAAATGTGAGGCTAGCTAAATACAAATGTAGCTCCTTACAGTTGCTATCTAAATATTTAGTTTAAAGCTAAATATCTAGCTTGCACACTAAATATTTAGTATAAATATTTAACTGGCTATCTAAATATTGAAGTTGAAAATAAATATTTTGCTTACTAAATAAAGATTTTGGATTGAAGCTACATATTTAGCTTTCTGACTAAATAGGCAGCTTCTCAACTTAATATGTATTATTTCTATATATAAATTTAGTTTGAAGCTAACTATTTAGTTTACCAACTAACTATTCAGCTTGTGAAATACATGTTTAGTTTCAAAGTAAAGATATAGCAAGCTATCTAATTATTTTGTCTTAAGCTGAACAGTTAGCTTCCAGTAACATATTTGTTTTAAGCTAAACTTATGCCTTGCTAACTAACTCACAGTTAGCAAACTGTTGCTAACTGTAACCTTTATAAAAAGATATATACCACCATTTTTTTTTTGCTCTTATGACAGGCTAAATAACAAAACATATTCCTGTTTATTTTTTACTGAATAACTTTTAACCCTAACACTACCCAAATGGCACAACCATAGTGAAACATCTTCAAACCCAAACCATGAAAATCCGATTTTTAAACAATAATCAGAAACCAGACTCTCTTTACTCACCATAGCTGAACTAAAAATCTATCAATTTTGTCTCTATTTAGTTTGGAGAAGTTGGCTAAATGATTGCGGTCATGTCCCCCCCCCCGAAAAGTTCAGGTGCCCCCAGGAGGTCCACGCCCCACACTTTGAAAAGCCCTGACTTAGACTAAAGATGACTGGAGCTCCATGATAAATGGCCAGACCTGACTTTACCACCCAAATGAAAAACTTCCGTATGAAATCCATCCTGCGTGCCAGTGAAGGCAGCAGGTAGAAATGCAAACAGAGTCCATATTGTGGCGCTAATCACAGCAGGCATGTGCTCAAGTGCTTTCTTGAATAGGAGCCACGATCTTCATAAAATTCAATTATTCAGCAGCGGGGAGTCATGTGATGGTCCGAAACCTCCCAAAATACTAAAGCAATTGTAAAAACGACTAAAAGATAAGAGAGTTTAGGGATATAAAGTTATTCCACTGCGAGTAAAACAAAAGAAAAAGCTCCAGCGATGCAGGTATGTGTATAATATTGTGATTAAAACCAATAAAGAGTCAGATAAAATAATTTTAAGCAAGTTATAAAAGAAATAACAGAATAAATATTCACAACAAAATCTGAGTTTTGCAGAATCTGGGTTAAATTATTTAGTCTCCAAATCTGGAGCTTTATTTATTTTTCTATCAAAAATAATTCACTGCTTTTTTCCCCCTGTTTTGCTGAAACTCACCGATGAAACAAGCGGCGGTGAGGGCAGACAGGAGCCGCAGACGGTCCATCCTCTTGCGGATCAGAACCGAACCTCCAGCCTGGGTCTGTCTGCAGCATCTCATCCCGGAGCGGCTCTGAAAACCCCAGAGCCTTATTCAGCCGAGAATCCGCTCTCTCATCGCTGTCATATGACAAAATGCGCGTCATGTGATTTTACTTTGGAGGTTAAAACCGAAAGAAAACGGACAGCAGCGGCAGCTGCTGCAGTTACAGGCAGCGACCAGCAGGGGCGCCGCTGCCACAAAATCCTTAAATTATTTATGTTTCATATTTTTTCCATTCACTGATATTTCTTACGTTAAATATTACTGTTTAAATGTATTATTTATTCTGTTAAATATTTTTTCATTCATTTATTTCATCCATTTATTATATTAGCATCAATAATTAAGTATGCAACATTTTTAAATAATCATGAATGTAATTTATTCATAACAGACATCAAAATCTTTACTGTTTTATTATTTTCCACAACAGTAATTTATTATGCTACATACTTGTCATTTACATAAATTATTTCCAATGTAATATATTTTATATATGGTTCCATCCAACCCTGTTCAGATCAAATCAGATATTAATGTTATATTATTGTATGTTTATCTAATTTTGTCTGTTTATTTCATGTTGTACAAAACATTTTTTATTCAGTTCAATCATTTATGACATAGTTTTTTTTTATTTACATAAATCTTTTTACTCATCAAGTATTTATATATTTTTCTTGACATCATTATGTCACATTCAGAATGAATCAAAGCAAATACATAATATCCTAAAATGAACAACAAACATAAAAACATATTTTAGTGTTTCATCTTGTGACCTCGGCACAGTTCCTTATTTCACAGTTCCTCATTCTCTGAAAGTGATTAATTTACTTTACTTTTATTCTCTCATGTTTTATTATTAATACTTGCTTGTTTTAACTTTCTGCTGTGTCTCAAGTAGTTTAACGTTTCTCAGTTTAAACCTTGACTGTATGGAAAGCCGTTACAGATCAAGCTCACTGTCTTTGTATGGCAACACATAATTCCGATCTGGTCGTCTAAGTTGGTGGAAAAACAGTGAGCAGTCGGGACGATTCTGGACTTTCTGAGTAACTTTAGTGGACGATGTGTTCTGGAAAATTCCCACGAGTCAGAGGTTAAAGGTTCACTTCCTGTTTTCACCCTTTCTTGCTTCTTGAAGCTGTTGGAGGAACTGAAACAAAAGTATGGTCTTAAAAAAGTGATTCTGTGAACAAACCTCAGGCAGACTGGGGCATTTTTAATAAGATTTAATGTATTGAAAATGAATCAGAATGGTTTAAAATAATGATAAGATGAAACATGAGTCATATCAGGGAGTATCGTTCACATGTTTTTACGTGTTTTTCTCCAAAGTGGTTGAATCACTCGGCGCCCTAAACATAGCGGGCTAAGCTCTCCTCCAACTCCTCCCATGTCGACTCCCTTAACTGTCCCTGGAGGAAGGAAGGAAGGAGACGAGAACAACTGACGTTGAAGCAGGAAGACTGAAGGATCCCTGCAGGAAACTCACCTGACTAGACGCTGCCCTGCTGAACCTTTTGCTGGGTTTGGCCCGGATCCTCTCAAGTTCCTTCACTTTGTGTAGCTCTTGTTTCTTATCCTCCAGCTTCTTCCTCAGAGCCACGATGGTGTCGTCCTCAGCCACCAACTGCTGCAGGAGCTCCTGCTGGGCACGCCGTTGCTCTTTCCTGCAAGGTGCCAAAAGAGTCGTGTTGCACTTAAATGTGTTACATTTCACCAGAGGAACTACACCTGAAAACTAGCCTTTATGGCTAACTTTGCCATATAATGTATTGTCTGTTTAGATATAAATAAACAGCAGAAGCCCCATAAGTGCAAGTTGTAATCAATCACATTTATGTTCAAGTTCAGGCTGCAACTAATGATTACTTTAGTTGTTGATTAATAAACTATTCTGATGATTAATTTTCATATTATGTGACGTGTATTGTCCCTTTAGAAATACATAAACAACAAAAGACTCAGAAGTGCAAATTGTAATGAAACATAAATCATATCATGTGCATTTAAGTTCAGATTCAAGCTGCAATTATTATTTTAATTATCGATTAATCAGTTATTCTGACGATTAATCGATTCATTTTTTAACAGTCACATTCTGTTGATTTTTATTTATATTTCTAATATTTTTACATAATATTTGCAACAAATTAAAAGATGCAAATAAACATGAATAAGAAAATAATATTTCATTGCCTATCATGTAATTACATAGGATTCCTTTGGCGAACAGTTGATTATTTGTAACAAAGGATGCATCTACAGTTAAAAATACTTGTTTAGATTTTTTTAAACGTAACTTGAATTGGGTGAAACTAAAGTTAACTTGAGAAGTTCTGGGCAGAACATATTTACAAAAAAGTGAAATTTTCCTCTTAAATGCAGGATATATTCACATTTTGTACTGCTCTGTATAAATTGCCTTTTTTTGCGTCTTTATATTCCAGTTAACGATTAATAAATTACTAAATAAATTGATTTAGTAATTTATTCTAATAATCGATTATTTTGACGAATCATGTCAGCAAACCTGTCGGCTGCTTCCTTCGTCAGCAGCTTCCTGTGGAGGTCAATGTTGTCCAGCGTGTCCAGGATCTGCTGCTTCTTCTTCTGCTTCTCCTCCAGGATGTTGCTGCGTCGCTCCTCCTCCTCTTTCTTCTGGTTCTCCCTCAGCAGCGCCAGCCTCTCCTTCAGCTCGCCCAGCGACATCTCACCCATCAGCTTGTAGCCTGGAATCTGGCACAGACAGACGGCTCAGGGGATCCACTGGGATCCACGACTCCAGCCGACTCCGGCCGACTCCGGCCGTGAAATCCACTTACCTCCGTCTCGTCGAAGATGTTTCGTTTGACGACAGGCAGCGACTCAATGACATGAATTTCGTGGATGAGTTGAATCTTTTTTCTGAGCTCCTCCTCTTTTTTCTCGAGGGCTTGGCGAAGCAGCTCCTGTTTTGCCTCCGATACTTCTTTCACTGTGAAATGTGCGTTAACATCACCATAATTAGTGACAAATTGTTAAATTGCTCTCTTCATGCCTTCAAAGGACAAGGCGTACCGATTCTCTGCTTTATTTTCTTGCTCCTTTCTTGAGCTGCTTTGGAGTTAATTCTGCCCTCCATCACTTGTTGCACCAAGTCTCTTATTTTCTTTTCTTCCTTCAGCCTCTTTTCTGCATATTTTTCCATGAGGCGAGCAGTCTGAGGGGCAAGAAGATATTTTTAAACTGATTTTCAAAACCATCTGTGAAAAAGAGTTATAAGCAACTGAATGCTTTGTGTAATTGATCCCCAGGGTGTCTTCATGCTTTAAGGTGCTGTGTAATCTTCTGTAAAAACTAGGGCTGAAACGATTAATCAGATTAACCGCGATTAATCGATTATTGAAATAATTGCCAACTAATTTAGTAATTGATTAATCATTAACTGAAGTATATGGTCTCAAAAATAAAGTAATATTCTGACACAATCAGATGAGTGATTAAGTCAGAAAGGTACAAAATACATATATATATTTTGAATTTAAGATAAAAATCTTTTATCTTGAAAAAGATTTTTCCAGATACGTCGTCCTCAGAACTCCTGAAGTGATGTAGTTGAACTTCACCTGGTTCAAATCCATGAAAGGAATTATATATGATAATATATGATTTAATGTGTCTCCAATATAATATGCATAAAAAAGGCTCAAGTAATTAAATGAAAAATATGTATATTGTAGTATTTCTCTATCTGATTAATTGATTAATCGTCAAAATAATTGACAAAATATTCAATTACTAAAATAATCATTAGTTGCAGCCCTAATAAAGACATTTTCTCATCGTCATGAAGTGATTATTACGCACCTCTTCTCTGTTGCACAGAACAGCTTCATGTTTTTGCTCAGCAATCCGTCTGCGAGTCAGAGCTATCTCCTTTTCAATGATCTGAGTCTGCAGACGGGTCCGTTCTTCTGCCTGCCGCTTCTCCTGGCGCTCCTGCTCCTCCAGCTCCTTTATCCGCTGCAGGACAGGCGACATGTCCGTCGCTCCCTGCACCAGTGCATCTATTCTGTTAAAACAGTCATTTCCTTCTGATCAGTTGAGCGAAGCAGCATCATTGATATCAGATCATGAAGAGTCAGGAAGGCTGATTAACCAAACTAAAGCAGCTAAAACAAACAGCTACTGGGTAAATGGCAGAATTATTCAGTTATTTCACAAGTTGACTCATGCTGTATGTTTTGTTCTATGCTAGTTCTGCAACAAACAACTATTTTATTTATTGATTAATCTACTATTCTGACAATTAATCGATTAATCAGATTTTTATACAATGAAATATATTGAAAGATGCAAATCAACAATAATTTATTTCATTTTTAAATAAGAAAATAAACATTTTCTTAAATAAAATTTAAAAAAAATCACAACATTCCTTTAGAGAACGCTTGATTGTTTGTAACCTCAAAACATGAACATGTGAAAAGCTGCTTCCTGCTTCAGTACAGTGCAGGGCTGATGTGTGTATTATTTATTTGGACAAACTGATTAATAACTGGATAGCAAAAGATGCTCAATCAGAGACATTTTAATAGAGTTTGAACCAGGTGAAGCTAAAACTGAAGCTTTAGGAGTTCTGGCTAAACAAAAATATTTACAGACAAAAGTTTTCATATATCCTAAATGCAAATGTTTATATTTTTAAGGCTTTGAGTTGATTACTTCTTTGAGAATGTTGTTCTTTCAGCAAATCTGTATACTCCAGCTAACAGTTAATCGATTATTAAATTAGTTGACTATTATTTCAACAGTCGATTAATCACGATTAACTCGATTAATCTCAGACATTTAGTTTTGAGAAATAAACGTTTTGTTTTGCGAATGTCAAAAATGAGTAGAGAAATGCGCACAAAGCGACTGAGAAAATTTGTAATACAAGCTAATTGAATCTATCTGAGTCAGAAATAAATTTTTGGATGTGTTTCATTACTTGCGTAGCTCCTCTTTCACCAGACGGTCATGCAAAGCCTCTCTTCTATAAATAGCTGCATTATTAAGCCTGACTGGGTGGATCTCCACCTGCAATAATCAGATAAATATCATTTTGGACAGCTTACACACCGATCAGGGAGTGCAGCAGTTGTAACAGGTGATTACTACCGTACTACTGCGAGGAATTTGTTTTGCATAAAAATACTCTGGCTTCATTTTGACGCTGCCTTCTGCCTCAGTCGGGGAAATCACAGCCTGCAAAACAGAACAAAGCAGACACTAATTATTCTGCTTTACGATGTACAATGTTATTGATTTGGTCAATTGATCACATTTTAAAGATTTAATTTGTGAAAAATCTAGGTTTTCATAGTTCAAAGTGATGTCAACACACCTGCGGTGGCCATTTTGGTTGGCAAGCATATTTTACAACGTTCATTTTTCTGGACTTTGAATATTAGAGCTACTTTTCCTTTTGATTACAAGAATGAAGTCATAATAAAGGAGAATGAAGTAGTAATTTTTTGAGAACTCCAACACAAAAAATAATAGATTAAAATGAGGAATGTTGAGCATTTCAGTGAACTTTGCTATGAGTTTTACAGATAACAAAATAATTCATCTTCTAGCGTAACGGCATCAAATTAGCATGACTTTGAAAAGAGGATCTGGTCATGTTAGCTCTTGATAATTTTACTAGATTTTTCTTATAAAGCAACTTTTTTCTCTTAATTTTAATACATTCTTTATCTGCTAATATTATGACTATATTCTCACAATTAATCAAAAATGAATCAGGCTAAAATTCTGACGTACAACTCATAACATGTTGTCTTTTAAAACCACTTTTTAAAAAATATTTTCTGTCATTAGTCATTTCTATGTTCAGAAAAAAAGCTATGTAAATAAATCATTAATAAATAAATAAAAGAGCAAATAAACAAATAAAAAAATGAAATAAAATAAGGTAAAATACCTCTGTTTGTTCTGATGTCTCTGGATCCTCACACCTGAATTGGACCACCTGCAGAAGTTTCTGGGGTTGGAAAGATGCAGATGTGATAAGTGAGATTATGTTGGACTGTAGTCCATAAAATAATCCCTACATCTGCTGCAGATGTTTACGAGGGGGACTGTTTCTCTCTGGGTCGTGATGCAGCTACTCTGTAAAATGCATCTCAGTCTAAATAACCAATAATCATAATAAAATGATTATTTTGTTAAAAAAAAAAAAAGCAAAAAAAACAAAAACATTTCACTTACATTTACACACTATCAACAATTATTTTGAAGAAGTTGAATGAATGTGAGTCACAACAACATTTAATTTCCCTTTGGGTTCAATAAAATACTTTTAAATTTTAATTTATTCGCCATATTTTGTCATCAGATCTCAAAATGACAAGCGGACGTTGTACCTCGGCCCTTTTCTGGTTCTTCTCTTTACACTCCTGTATTTTCTGATGTACTATTGGAGTCGTATAAGTACTGCTTGGGACCTACAGGAGCAAAGCAGAACCTTTAATGCATTAGAAAATATTTGTCTAAAATGTGCAATAACTTAAACATATACTCTCTAAATCATGGGAGTCCAAACTTTTTTTCTTATGGACCAAAAGTGTCAAGTCAAAAGGGCTTGATGGCTGAAAAAAACCTAAATATTTTACCTCTTCAACCATAAACTAAGAATGTAACAAATTACATTATTGACAAGTTGTTGAATGTTGGTTTTCAAAAACTCAAACATTATGATGGACTTTAATGGGTTGGCAACACTTTATAATGGTTTTAAACTTAAAATGAGATTTAAAAATACATTTTTCCTATGTGGTATCAGAAATCAAACCATGGCAGTTAAACTGAGATGCTGAAGGAAATGTTTGAATATTGTCAGAATAAATGTGATGCTGACTGGTTTGAACTTCTCTGGCCGACGCCTCAGATCCCCTTTGGGTGGGGTTTCCAGTTTAATTTTGGAAAGACCGAAATCCTGAAACTCGGTGCGTTTAGCTTTAGCTCTCCTTTTCTTTTTTGAAAGCTGATCCATGAGCTGATTGATCTCAGGGCGCCACCTGGAGGGCACACAGACACATTACTATGACTTTGAAATAAATGGATCTAAGTTCTTGTCAGTAAGCTATGGAAGAGAATTAGGGCCAGCAAATCAAAAAATCTAACATTTTCTCGAACTTTAGATTTTTTTCCTCTCAGAATTCTGACTTAAAAATCTGATTTCTAAATTTCAGAATGTCAATTTCTATCAAAATCCAAAAAATATAAACATTCTAAAGTGTATGTCAATAATATTACTATTGTTAATGAAAATAATCCCATAATTGTTTCTACCTCGTTATAGGTAAGCCTCTTCAAAGTATGTAGTAGTTTTCACTTTTTAGGCTAGATTTGCCTGACAGTGCAGAAACAATTTAAGCAATTCTGATTCTGAGGGAAAAAAGTAGAAATTCTGAGAAATAGCAAAAATTCTGAGAAAAAAGTCTTAATTTCTGGAGAAAGTCAAAATTCTGAAAATCTAAAATTTGAGAAAAAGGTAGAACTCTGAGGAAAAAGTAAAAATTCTGAAAAATCTAAATTAAGAAAAATATCAGATTTCTGAAAAAGAGTCAGAATTTTGGAAAAAATTCAGAATTTTGAGAAGTTCAAATTCAGAGAAAAAGTCAGAATTCTGAGAAAAATTCAAAATCCTAAGAAAAAGTCGAAATTCTGAGATTATAGTCAAAAATCTCAGTTTAAAATCAGAATCTGGAGAATATTGTTTGACCCAGTTTCTATTACCTGAGCAGAGGGATGATCCAGTGCTTCTCCACGAATTCAGGGTTATAGAATGTGTTCCATTCTTCTTGAACCCATGTGGTGATGTTTGACAGGAAAAAGTCAAGAAACTGAACAGACAGAGAGAAGCATTGCTGATTTGCTGATCACTCTAATATTTATTTTCTGGTTGAGACACTTACGAATTGCATCTTCAGACGGCCCAGAGATTTAACTATGGTGCTAAAATGTTCAAGTCCAAGTTGATCAAGACTAAACATGCAGAGGTAGCAGATAACTGAAAGCACATAACATGTCAGAGGTCCTTATATTATTATTATTATTATTATTATTATTATTATTATTATTATTATTATTATTATTATTATTATTCCATTCAATGATACCAGTGACTCCCCCAGAAAATCTTTATAGAGTGCCAGAGCAGGCCAGTGAAAATGTTATTTTTAAATGTTAGACATTTCTTCATTTATTGGCCAACATTTTTGAAGCAAGGGCTTTGGCCCCCGGGCCCTCCATTAAGTGAATTAACGTTCACTTACTGATGAACTGGTTGCGGTCACTTTTGGACAACCACTTTCTATGCTGGCCATAGAAAGTATTGATGACAATATCAAGCGGCTTTTTATACTCAACACATCCAGAAACAATTTCGAGGATGAATTTCCTCTCCAGAGGATCAAAGCTCTGCAACAGATAACAGAAAAAAAAAGAAGAAGTAAAGTTCCAACCAAAAATTGTAGACATTTTCTAGAAAAAAGTTTGGAAAGTAAAACATTTGTCAGAAAAAACCCCAGAAAAATGTACATTAATATAATAAATTTTCAATAAAAAAAAACAAAACAATAACATTTCTGAATTTGAAAAGTTAAAAATAAAAAAATAATTTTGAGATTAAAATCTGAAATTTTGTACAAAAGAATTTGCATATTTAGTGTCAAAAGCTGAACATTTTCGACTTTTGAGACTCAGAAAATCTCCATAAATTTTTGCCTTTCAAATACAAAAAATATCCAATATTTTGTCTCGAAAATTTCTGAAATTCATCTAACATTTTCAGATTTCTTTTTTTTTACGGAAATGTGCTCCTCCTTTCTATCTACAATGGCTCCAATACGACTAGTAGTAATAACCTCCAGCATTGGTGTGATTTACACTTTATGTACCGCCTGTAAATCCGTGGAAACATCCTCTACGAACTCGTCCACGCAGCGGGGGTCAGATGAAAACTGATCCAGCAGCCTCCACGCGACTTTCACCAGAGATCCCATCCCGGAAGACGTTTTCAAATCATCCGATGCGTTTGTTGCTACTTGGTTCACCGGAAGACCGTCAACTTTTCTTCCAGCTGCCTGTTTTTCAGTAGACATCGCTTCGAGAAAAGCTTTTCGCCACCACTAGAAAAATTCAAGGTTTGGAGAGAAAGCGTCTCCTGCCGTTGCCTAGCAACTGACGTACACAGAGCCGTCTCTGATTATGGCGGCGCTGTGAAACCCAGCAGAAACCCGCCGGCTCCGTCTGAAATGGAGAGGTGTGTTTGTTTTTATAGTGTAGACGTTTGTTTCAGTCTATAAAAGTCACTCGGAGTTTTACAGCACGCTGATTATCATCGCGGCATCCTGATCCTTTGTTGGCCGCCATAACGGTTAGAACGAGCTGACGTCAGCGCGAGCTGGGTGCTGCCTTCACGTGCTGCTGGAAATTCTAATTCAATTTCTTACATTTAGTTTTAGCTCATCTTATCAAAGATTGTTCAAAGAGTTGATGAAGATGTAAGTGGCTGTGGGGAGCTAGCTTGGATTTAAAAAAAATTATGTCAGTTTTTATAGCTATTATTATTATTATTATTATTATTATACAGATATTAGGCACAAGCTGGGTTACTCAAAACCACAGAAACAGATAATATAAAAAGGAAAATAAATGCTATCATAAATTAATAGGGTAAAAAATATAGTAAACATATTTTTTTCTCCAAAGCCTAAGGTTTTATACAGATTTTATCTTTTTAAAAAGTCACAGCTTATAAATACTAAAACAATGTTCAGTATAGAAAATATACTGAATGTCTGTAATATATAAAATCTGTGCGAACCCAATGTAAACTACCTATAGACAATCGTTTATAGAACTTTAAGACCTAAAAAAAGAATGGATAAATATATATATATATTTCCCACAAATGTGAACCAGAAGTAACCCATGCTCCTGAACCATCATCTTGGTAGGCAAACACAGCACAAAGCATAGATGAACCATGAGACCAACAAAAAGAAATATATTAACATTTTGACCAATGTCCAAGAGAAAGATATATCAACAAAATCCCAGCTGTCAGGATTAATTCGCATGAGACAGAGAATGTAGCTTATTTATTGTTCCCATAGCAAGTCCAAAGCAACATTCATGACAGTTAGTTACAGATACCTATAACTAATTGTCTGTCAGCGACAAAGTTTCCAGAAGTTTTCTATTTTAGAACAGAAAACTAACAAGCAAAATTGCTTAAAAATTGTCTACTTTGAAACAAAGTAGTCAGATTTTATGACTCTTCAGTTTTAGACCATCTTCTCAACCACTTATTGAGATGTAATAGAGAGATCCAAATTAAACCCAATAAACATTCAATCTAGTGTGTAAGACAAATGTTGGTCATTCCATTATCAAAAGCAGAGTTAAGTAGTATTTATTTACATTTACTTAAATAACTTAAAAAAAAAAAAAAACTTTTAGGAGTATTTTTAGTACACTTTGCTTTTCAGTTTTACTTGAGTAATTTTGTTATAAAGTATCGCTACTCTTACTTGAGTAAAATTTCTGGATTTAACCAAAAATGCACCAGACACAGACGCACACACCTGATCAGTGTTAATTAAAGTTCATACTTATTTTTTTTTTTCAGAAAATGATTTGAGAAAAAAATATTTTGTCTTATTTTATTGTTTTTGTTACTATTTAAATTTTTGTCCATAAAATACCAACATTCATACTTAACTTTACATTTGTGTGCGCTTCTAGTTATGTAACTTTTAAATATTATACAATTGATAATTTGATCAGTTACAATACTTGAGTAGATTTTTACCAATTTTCTTACTTGAGTAATTTCTTGGACGTCTACTTTTTATTTTTACTTCAGTAAAAATATGTTGAAGTAGTTCTACTTTTAGTTGAGTATAATTTTAGGTACTCTGCCCACCTCTGCCAAAAAGACTCAGTTTTATGGCAGAATGATGGTTCTCCTGATCCAAACAGAAACCTGTCGAACCGGTTTAGGTTTCTTGGGTGGAACAGAACAGGTAGAGTCCTCCTTTCACAGGTGGCTTCTGATTGGTCGATGCGGCCCCTGAAGGCACCATCGCGGGGAAAGTGGGCGGGGCCTGTTGTCAACGTGACCGTCATGAAGTAACGTTAACGGGGGACAGAGCGGAGCGGATCCGTCAGTCGGTTAGTGTCCAGGGGAAGGAGGCAGGCTGAGCGTCGGGATAGAGGAAAAATGGGAATAACTCCCCGTAGATGCGCTTCGTTCCGGTCCATATCCACGGTGTAGACTCGGAGAACCGACCGTACACCGTGTCTGGTTCTCCGGCTGACAGCGGATCCACCGCAGCTAGCTGGGTTAGCAGCCCGCCGTCACCTACCGGGCGGGCAGGCGGGCGGGCGGCAGAGGAGAGCCGAGGAGGGGCTGTGACAAAGGAAGGAGCCATGAACCGCTTCAGAAAGTGGCTCTATAAACCCAAGGTGAGTTTCTGCGGACCGTCAGGCCGCCTCAGCCTTGCCCCGACCCGGTTCTGATGCGGTTCATCCCGATGGACTCTGCTGCAGACCGGCTAACATTAGCTGTGATCCTGATGTTTGACAAGCTGCTGTCCCTTTGTTGGTGTTGTTGTTGTTTTTATTGTTGTTGTTGGGATGTTTTTGTGACATTGTTGGAGCCTGACAGCTTTCAGCAGCTGACTGTCACTTTAATTAGATTATCTTTTAATAATTTATCAGTTTGACTTTAATTAACATGTAACTATCAAACATTAATATCAACTGAAACCTAAGAACAACTGAGTTATGTGAACTGTTTCTCTGAAATTGTTACTACCAGAAGCACATTAGCTCTTATAAATATTTGCATTGATTTGAACTTACCTTTTTATGTAACTAATAAACTCTTCAGGCTATAAAGACAAAAATATGCAGCAAAACTCAACAAATTAAAGATATTGTCATCCAGTAAATTTCAGTAAAACGTTTAGTTAAAGCTCAAAATGTATAATTTTCATTTGTTTTTTCTCATTCATTACTTTTTTTCTGTATTCTGTATATTATCTGCAACTTTTGGATGCAACACACCTGAATTAAAGGAACGGTTAATGATCTGGCCTTTGCTAAACTTCCTGATTGAATCCTTTGAATTGAGTTATTGGAGCAGGGATTCACCCAAAAGATGCATATTTTATATATCTGGAACTGATAATTTCTCAATCACTTGTAATAAGTTTATAAAACCAATAATTGAGCATCCAGAAATTAGGGATGCATTGATGGTACATTCATAACTTAAAAAAACCCCTTCAGCCTAGTTAATAGGCCTGTCATGATAAATTATGCTGGACAATAAATTATCCAAATAAGTTATCACCATAAACGATAATATTTTTGTTTTGATGTTGTTTTCAAGTGTTGATAATGGCATAGTAATCCAAGAACAGACTCTTAAAGATTGATAAACTTTAAATTCGAATGAACATTTGACCCTGGAACTGGAAAACATTTTAAATATCCAAAATAAACAATACAACAGAAATAGCAAATAAAAAGGATATTAAATTGTTTATAAACAAAATTGTCCTTCAAAAAATTGACTAGTTGAGACCAAAGTATCAGACTGAAGACTTTTATCCTCCAGTTTTTGATCAAAAGAGAGGAAAGAGAAATCATGCAAATGGAAATTATTGAGTTTGTTTTAATTTATCACATGTTCAACTGATTTGTTTCTTATTGTTGCATACTTATACATCAACACCTTTTAAATGTGAACTTTTTAGTTGAATTAGCATGACTCAAAAACCCACCATGACTCAAAAACCCACCTGACACAGCAGAGGAAGTGTTAAAGGCTTGGTCGTCTCGTCAGGCGAACAGTTCAGTGATACTCCGACTGCAGCAGGGAAGCTTGGCTGAACGTGTGGACGTCTGTCCAGGGCACAAATTCTTGTTAAATGTTTTGTTATCTTCAGGCCGTGTGGAATTTCGACCCACAGTCAGAGCATGCCAAGAGCTGAAAGCAGCATAACAGTTTTAATACCGACACAGGTTTAAATCAGAACTTAAAAAAGTTTTTCACTCTGATCATGAACATCAATTAGACAATCAAGCTGATATTAAATAAGCATTGCATCAGTTATGTCATGCAGGCTCAGATAAAAAAGCTCTGATTACATATTATCCACCTGCTCTTGACCACACACCTGCGTCAGTTCGTTTCTACTGCTAAGTCATGTTTTCTTTAGCGGTCAGCAGTGTTAACCTGCGTAATAACTCCTGGGAGGTTACATCAGCCTCCCTCCTTTCTGCCGAACGACAATCACGCATCTATCTGTGGGAGTGAAAAAACCAAAAAGTTGGGAGAGAGGAGTGCCGAGCAATCTGCACCCATCCCGTCATATTCTCCTTTTTTAAAAATGTTTTATTATTGAAGGCTGAGGTTTAGTCGCTGCGATTCAACATTAAGCAGTTTATCTCTGAACTATGTACTCCTGGAGATAGAAAAGTGCTGAATCAGCACGCGCCGTTGAGAGAAGCAGGGATATTGATATTTCCAGAGCGGCTCTGTTCCACCCTGGATAAGTCCTGCGGTGAAAGGCTTTTTTTGTTTTGAACCCCTCTTGCTACATAATCCCGGCTCAGACTGTAGGGAGAGCAGCATGCAGGAAGTTACGTTTCCTCCTATTATTATCACACAATTTATTCCTATTTAAGTATTAAAGACGTTTTAAAAACGTGTTATTGAGACTATTATAAGCAGATTACCAGAGCTGGAACAGGCTGGGCGTGAAAAAGGAGGCGGTGTTTGAGTTTTTAACATCAGGCGGAGTGGCGTTCCAGAGGCGCTGGTTCCCATGGTGACCACATTGTAAACAGGAAGTGCTCCTTGAATTCAGAACCTGCAACCTTTGCAACTTAAAGAGACATTTTTACCATCAGTGGAGCCAAATAAAACGCTTTTTTTTGTAGAGCCGCAAAATTAAGTTTTTTAATTTTAGATAAATATCTACTACAGAGCATTTGTTTTTAGTATTAGAAAACCACAATTTTATTTCCATTTTTTAGGAGTTTGAATTGAAGAAAAAGATACAATTTAGCAAAAAGTCAAGCCCTAATGATGAGAAAATCAGATCTAAAGCCATACGGCTGAAACAATTAATCATATCTTGATTAATTGATCACTAAAGTAGACAATAGCTAATTTAGCAGTCACTAAAAACTCTTGAGATACGACATTTAATTTCCGTCTGATAGACGTAAAGTATTTCTTAATTGAATTGAATGGCACCATTTTTCATTTTTAACAGAAAAAACTGTAATCCTGAAAATATACAATTTAATTCAAATTGTGATTAATAGTTTCAGCCGTAATTGATTATGTTGTTTTCAAAAACAACTGAAAAAAATCAAGAAATCACTTAAAAGGATCAGTTTCTCTGATTTTACTCTTTATAGGTAAATGTTTGAGTAAAATAAACATTATTTTATTCTTGAACTACTGACAGCATGTCTCTGAAATTCAAAGCAGAAATTTAGTATTTATTTGCAGAAAATGATAAATGGTCAATATAATAAAAGGATGCAGTGCTTTCAGACCGCAAGTAATGCAAAGAAAATAAGTTCATATTCATTTAGAAACAACAAGACTAATGTTTTAACTGAGAAAGAGTTCAGGAATCAATACTTGGTGGAATAACCAGGAGGTTTTCAATGGGGTTCATTGCAGTGGCTCTTAATATTTTACAGTCCTTTATATTCTGCTGCTTAGAGGATTGAGAAAAGAAATGGCAGCAGTGTTACTGATAATTCGATAACTTTTAGATGAATTGTTTTCACCCTGAAACATCATTTAATGTGAAAACAGTTTCCAGGTGCAGCTCTGATTAACTTTGTAGGAAGTTTGATGAGTTCTTGCCTTGATTGTTGGATAATTGCAATACTTACTTGAATAAGTCCTTCTCTGGTGGTTCTGGTTTCTGGAGGCGATGGGGGAGAGTGAGCGTTGTGGCTTCATATTTAGGACAGTTTCTGCAGATCTTTGTGAAGCGTCCCATTCTGCTTACCCACTGGCCGTGTGGTAATTGATTTGGTGTCGGCTACAGTGATTTACAGAGCTGATCCCAGCACAGACTGAGGTGGGTCTGGCGATTGAAAAACCGTTTTAAATTTACCGCAGGACCTTCAGTTCTGCTGTCCGAGGCCTGCGAGGGTGGCATCAGAAGGAAACCAAGACGAATTAGAAGAAGAGTTAACGGGATTCGTATGGCTGCTTGAAAACCTTAAAAATGCTTCAATTTCAATTTGATGTTTGTATCAACAGCTTGATATTCTAACTACACAGTTTTATAATAAAGTGAAATCTTAATGGATTGAAAGCCTAAATTTGGAAAACATTATTGAAACCAGATATTTTCACACACTTTCTCTTACTGTTTGAAGTTAAATCAGAATAAACTTTTGTTAATTTATTTCAGATACAATTACCAAAATTATTTATATCTGCTGAATGCCAGAAAACTTCTTTTTAGAGATTTTCTTCCTGCTGTCTTTGTGTTAGAGGTATTTTTTGCCATAATTTGAGAGCGACACATTTTCAGTTTGAAAGCAGGATTTCATGTCTTTTGTTCTCAAAACTTGTATTGCTTGTACGCCAAACTTCTCTCTTTCAAATGTTCGCTGTGCTTTCTCAAGCTTTTCTCCTTGCGCTCAAAACCTATCCCTGCTCGGATCAAATCTTTGTTCCCAAACCTCTCTGCTAGCGTGAGAATCATTTTCTGCTCGCGCTTAGAACAGAAAAGTACCGTCGCCTGGCAATCTCTCAGCCAATAGAATGAAAGTGTTCTACTGGGTGCGTTCGTTTCCTTGTAGCGGGTGAGCCTATGTGGCTACTATTGAGTATAGCAACCTGCGCCCCCCGCTGATTGTAGGCAAAATGTGTTATGGTAGAAAAAAGCATTTAATTTTAGAAGGAAGGCCATTTACCTCAACACAATTTATTTTTGAATGTTTCAATATGATGAATAGTTATTTATAATAACCTGATTTATTTTTTGAAATTGTGGGCTTTTTATTTTCTGTTAAATCAGTGTTTTGTTCTCAGACAAGTCAGGTGATTAGGGAACATTTGAAACTGTTCAAAACAAAGTTTTATTTTATTTTAGTTTACATTGTCCCTGCTGTAGTATGAATAAAACTACCGCAAAAAATTACTAATAACAGTAACAAATATCATATGATAGTGAATTGAAACTGTATTTTTTTAGTTTATTTGTATTTGGTGCTGGGAAAATGTGACAACTGACCTTGAAAATTGCTTTAATTTCACTGTAGTAATGTACAAACTCTGAGTTAAGGTGCAATATCCTGACCTTTGCTCTCTTGTTCTTCACCTTGTTTCCACTGATAGTAATTGCTGCGTTCTTTGATCAGAGGTGCTTCAAGCCTCCCCTGTTGGGTATCTGATGATGATAAAGCATTAATCC